TTGATCCTGACATTGCTGCAGCTCTTGATGATGATTTTGACTTTGATAATCCGGATAATCTGCTTGAAGATGACTTTATTCTTCAGGCCAATAAGCCGACAGAGGAGGAGGGAATGGACGTACGGTATGTGTGGTTTGTTTTGAAGCAGGGATGGCCTCTCTCCTGCTTCCTCAGTAGGGTGGTAACCGTGGAATGTTCTAGATGGAAGAGACCTTTGAGAGGGTGTAGTCTGAGACTGCTGTATTTCAGAGCAGAAAATGTGAGACTTGAGGGCTGTAGAAGCCATCGATAGGTGGGGCTAAAGTCCAGGTTGCCTGAGGCTGCTTCCTCGCTTTCCCAGCCGAGCCAGACGGGTCAAGCAGCACAGCTGTTCCTGCCCAAACGAGAATGCTCCCGGAAAGACCCTCGGCTTTTACTTGTGTGAAGGCATTTGGTTCTGTTGTTTTTCAAGTTGTTTTGACAGTTAATTTATGGCTCTGATTTTAGGAAATCTGAGGCTGAAGATGGCAGTGAGTGGGAAGATGTGGATGATGAGAAGGAAGGAGGTAGTGATGAGGATTACTCTGACTCTGCGGGCTCATTATCAGATGAGGCTATGTCTGCTCCTGGAAAACCTCCTGGGGCTAGAGAAAACCACTTCTTCTGGGAAGAGGAAACAAAGAGTCGCTTTACTGATTATTCTATGACATCTTCAGTCATGAGGAGAAATGAGCAGCTGACCCTACACGATGAGAGATTTGAGAAGGTGAGGTTCCCAAATGAGAGGCTTTTTAATACTAGTCCATGGTAAATTTTATATGACGTTGAATCCCAAAACTAGCACTTTCAGCATTAGAAAGAGCCTCTATGTCTTTTATTAAAACAGCCCATAAAGCCACCCTAGTTTTAATTCTGTAAAGAATGCATACAGGTCCCAAGATGGCTGATCACACCTAGATTTTGATTCTGAGCCTCCCGACCACAGTCTCCAAAGTCATGCTATTGTCCTCAAGCATTGGCCTGAACGTAAACAAAATTCTCTCAGAGTTTTTTTGTGTTTTGCTCATTCATGTATCCCAAGGCCTAAAGTGGTATCTGGCATGTGGTAGGAGTTCACACTGTTCAGTAAATGATGAGTGGATGAATGAATGGTTTCCTTCACGGTGAATCTAAGATGAAGGTTCTCACTTCACTGCCTTTTCACTAGGTACTATTTCCCTCTTCTCTCCAAGAGATAGGCAAACCGTTACCACACATAACTTCACTGTGCAGGAGTTATATCACCCCCGGCTTACCCTTCTACAGAGCCTAACAGCATTTGAATAATACAGTAAACATCATCTAAAGGAGAATGAAATTTGAACATTAAAAGGAGGCTGTTTAGTGACCTGACCTTTCGGTTTGTATAATCAGTGAATTTGAAAGTATCTGTAAAATATTCTGAGGTAAAGATTTCTGCCTAGCATTTTGCTCTCCAAGCTGAACAGAGTAACTGCCTTTCACTGTCGTGTTAAATGGCAGCCCATTTCAGTCTAAATGTAAGTCTTCAAGTGTTGGGTAGAATATCTTCCACATCACATTGTTATGGTGCTGAGTCCCTGCTAACATTGTAACAGTAGTTGTGACCCCATGGTAGTGCTAAAATATTGTGTAGGAATCAAATTAATGTAGAGGGGGCCGGCCTGGTGGTGCAGCAGTTAAGTGTGCATGCTCTGCTGTAGCGGCCCAGGGTTTGCAGGTTCGGATCCCAGGTGTGCACCGACACACCGCTTGTCAAGCCATGCTGTGGCAGCGTCCCATATAAAGTAGAGGAAGATGGGCACGGATGTTAGCCCAAGACCAGTCTTTAGCAAAAAAGAGGAGATTGGCATCAGATGTTAGCTCAGGGCTAATCTGCCTCACACACACAAAAAAATTTAATGTAGAAATGTTTAAATGCTATAGTCTTAATACATTCAGTTTTCATGGTATCCCCTCTCTTTATATTCAAGTTTTATGAGCAATATGATGATGATGAAATTGGAGCTCTGGATAATGCTGAATTGGAAGGTTCCATTCAAGTGGACAGCAGTCGCTTAGAGGAAGTTTTGAACGACTACTATAAAGAGAAGGCAGAGAAGTATGGTGACTTCCTGTTTACCTGCTTTTTTCATTTTAAATAAAGTCTGTAGTTGTACGGCTGAATCTAGAAAAGCACCCAGTCAGAATCCATGTGAAGAAAATGGTATGTTTTCTGTGACCTTTGGCTCACATCTTGATATTAAGAGTTCTGAAGCTGAAGGTAACAGTAGTGGGAACATACTGAGAACTACTGTAGCTTTGACCTAAGAGTCATGATGGAATAAGTGAGGGTTAGACTGGGAAGTACAAGGTCACATTCCACTTGGAGAATGAGGTGGTGCCTTGAGCCTCTTTGGCTGAGCAATTATTCTGACTTCTAAGTATATACGCCCTTCTTTTCATCTTCCTGAAATGCCAGGTATTCTGAGAAGTAGATATTTATGGCTTATGGAAAGATAAGAATTTGTCTCTACAGATGGATTAGCGTAACTTTCCAGCCAAATATTTGGTGAATCAGCATTCGTATCAAGGTGATTTGTCTGAGAGAAACTAATGAGGTGTTTACATTTGCTAGAAAGGTCTGATGTTCCATGATCACTATCGTATGCAGATCCTACAGCAGGTCAAGGGCTGCATACTTTGAGTGAATTATTTAAGTACTTTGGAGAGACACATGGACTAATAATGCTTTTTAAGGCTTTAAAAAACACCATGTTTTAGGAAAGCTGCCATCTTGTTTAATTTATAACCTTGCAAAGATGCAGGTAGATCTTTCCTTCCTCTCAACAGAATGTCCAAAATCGGGAGGGGAGAGGCAGGGCTGGGTAGAACTCACTTTGACAGCAAGTAATAGACAGGGCACATGAGTATGTGGATTTTTAAAAATGCTGTTGTTTTCATAGCTAAGTGCAGTTTTAGTAACATATAGTATAATAATGTGTGGTGGTGTTTTTTCCCCCTCTTCTGTCTTCATTTTTGAAAACTCGACCAAAAGTTGTGTAAAATTGAATACTCTTGAATCCTTCGAGGATCAGGAGCTGCCAATGAATGAACTTGATGGGTCTGAGGAAGAAGAGATTGTTACTGTAGTTCTTGAAGAAGCCAAAGAGAAGTGGGATTGTGAATCCATTTGTAGTAAGTATCTTAATGTCTATTTTACTGCTAAAAGTATTTTAGTAATTTTAAAGTATTAAGTACATCAGCTTTTTGGAAAAGTACATATTTTGTGAAAATGATTTAGAAACAGTAATATTTCTATTACCAAATTATAACAATTTAAAAACATTTATAAGAGAGACTCCAGTGTTATTTTGAACTGTGAAAACACCAAATTTTGGGATATTGTTGGAACTCAATAATGTTTTGCCGAACTGAAAGTATACTTATTGATACGTGATTTTTTTTTTTTCAGGTACATACTCAAATTTATATAACCATCCGCACCTTATCAAGTATCAACCAAAGGTAAATCCTAGTGTCCTGAGCTATTTGAAATATGCACTGCAGGAAATGGAGTGTGCAAATTATTTTCTCACAGTAACTGTGTCCTTTTGTGGCTGGCAACACCATTAGGAAAAGCAAGAACAACGTGGCGTTATTGAGCTATTTTTTAATAGGCATGGGAAATAAGCCTAATGCCATTGTATCTTCATTTCAGCCCAAACAAATCCGACTGTCTTCTAAAACAGGGATGCCTCTCAATGTCTTACCTAAGAAGGGGCTCACAGCAAGGCAAGTGGAGCGAATGCAGCTGATTGATGGCGGCGATCTGCCTAAGGTGCCACCCCAACCGCGTTGTGAAAATGAAAGCAAAGAAGATAAGAGAGCGAGAAAGCGAGCTGTCAGAGAAGAGCGCAAGGTAAAGTACGTTCCTCAGATGGGAGCCTCCCAGAGAGCTGCCGGCAGGATTTTCCTGCTGTAAGGGTGGTCTGCACCAGTTTGAAGACTTGAATAACACCAGTGTGTTCTTGTACAGGAACGGAGAGCGGAGAAGAAAGCTAACAGATTAGCCTTCAGACTGGAGAAGAGAAGGCAGGAAAAGGAGCTGCTGAACCTGAAGAGGAATGTCGAGGGTCTAAAGCTATGACAGTGAACATTTAGGATAACGCCCCTTCCCTGTCGGGCCCCCATGAGGTTCACTAATGAACAAGGGTCTTCACAGAGACAAACTGGTTGATCTGCCATTTTTACCGGCAGGTATTGCAAAGAGAACAGTACAATATTTGTCATTTATACCAGCAAGTTTTCTCTGTCCACCGTCTTGTAAATATTGTAATATTTTTAAACTTAATATTATAAGCTTAGATTTGCTCTGAAATCAGTGACTTCATGAAGATGAAATGTTTGGATAAATTAAAGGAAAATGTCTTCATGACTTAAATGGAATTGTTGTGTTCTTCTTTATTTGTATGGTTGTCCCAGTTGTCTTTTGCAGATGTTCACAAATATTTCTTTGAAAGCTCTCCATGCTTTTTCAGGGATTAAGAGGTTTAATTTACTGTATGTATGACCCAGTTAAACTCGATTTTGAAATGCTGAGTGGTAACAAGAGTTTTCCTGAGAAGGTTCCACTGGTAGGAAGCTAAGTTTCCCCTTGCTGTATGCAAAGTTATTTAAAAAGGATGGTAAAACTGAGTATTAAGGTTGTTGGGACTCAATTACTGGGTGACTTGCTTTTGGAATTTAGGAACAGTGAAGACAGGAAACAGAAGAAATAATCAAGAAAACTTCCTTGGCTTCAGCGAGTACCTGGCTCAAAATCAGAAATATTTACTTCAGTTTAAACTAGAAAGTTTGTCTTTTCAACATTATTTAATGCTTGGAACTGTTCATACTTGATTAAAATACATAGTTGAAAACTTTCCCTATTTTTTGATGAGTTTTGTCCTTTTTCTTTAAACTTTTTCAAGGCTCAGGCAGTGACACCATCACAATTGTTAATTATTTGGTAAACTGTGACTTCCTTGCAACAAACAAGTTGTTAGTGACCCTTCTTCATGTGTCCATGACTAGTGTGTTATCTAGACTGTTCTGGAAAAAAAAAAATCTGTGGATACTGTGGGTCTGAGGGGAACAGAATGGCTGGGGCAGAACCATTTTTGGCAGGTGAGCTGCATTTGATATCTAAATTACTAGAAAATGTCTTTATCTGTAATTAATTTGATTATGGCTTTTCCAGAGCTGGTAGATGTTATCTTATTCTGTGTTATCAATTCTAAATCTAAATAGTTATTGTAAGGTTTTTAAAAGAGTTGTGAATAACAATAGTATTAGGTACTCTACCAACGTTCATCAAAAAAGTTGATGAAGAGCTTGTTGTTACAGAGTAGAAGACTGGAGAGTGTATATTTAAATGCCAACCCACAGAAGCAAAGGGTCAGGTTGATGGCTTAGGCTAGTATTGGGAAGGTACTAAATCCTGAAAGGATTGACCATTTATTTTGGTAGCTTTCTCAATTGAAGGTTCTCAAAACCAGCAAGGATCTTATAGACATGGAATATTACTTTGACTTGGTACTATTCAAATTCCGTTTTATGAGCTTCTAATTTTACTGCACCTAACCCAGAGGGTTTAAATCAGCACATTATGTATTTTGCAGTTAAGAGAATGTGACTATAAGGCACAAGTCTTGGTGAAGCATATGGTGATTTAGGCTGATTATCCAAAGTTTTACACAATATTTTGAATTATTTCATGCCATTTTGGAATATTTATGATTGGAGTCATCTCTAAATAATAGTTGAGAACGTAACATAAGTTCCATGCTAAGGTTGAGACTCCAAGGCGACAGGAGGTTTTTGCCTTCAAGGGCTGCATCATCTGAGGAGGCTGGATGTGTGCAGCAAAATATAACTAGCAACGCCAAGTCACTGTGATAAGTACCACTTGAAATGAGGATCTTGGTACTTGCTGTTCCCCCTGAAGTACTCTTACTGCAAATAAACCTTCCTCAGGGTTGGTTCTCAATTGTCACTTCCCCCATAAACTATTCCCTGACCATACATTTAAAAGTAGCACACACATCCCTCCCCTGCATTCTTTATGCTCCCTTCCTGCTTTATGTTCTCCATAGCACCTACTGGCATCTGAGATAGATCTTGTTTTCAGTCTCCTCTCACTAGAATAAACAGGGCAGGGAACTTTTGTTCATTGCTTTATCCCCAGGGTCTAGAACAGTGCCTGGCATTTGTTAAATGATCAGTAAGTAGTCAATAAATGCATAGGTAGTTGGGGAAAACATTTCAGAAAAGAATTGCTTAAACTTGGAGGGAACAACATGACCTAGACTCAATGTTAGCAAGGAGAAAGAAGGCCCAAGGCATCCCAGGTAGGAGGCAAAATCATGAAGAATGTGCCTGTTGTATCTTAAGGACCTGTTTAGTTTAAGCACTGTCCATGGTTGGTAGAACATCACTTTTTCAGATATTTTGGAACTGCTGTCATTTTACCGGTCAAACTAAGTATCAAAAGCTATTACCATTTGTGTATATTATCTGTGACGCATTGTATCCACACCTCCATTGTGATGTCATCAGATCAGCTCAGGTGAAGGGCAGAACTCTAGCTATCTTATAACTTGACTGTTACATCATCAGTACTTTTGTGTTACTTCTTCCTGTGTGTTGATATTAGTATATTTTACCCAGCTTGTTTGTTCAGTTAAAGGTCAGGAGAAGGTAAAAATTCTTTTTTTTTTTTTTTTTTTTTTTATTGCAGTAACATTGGTTTATAACATTGCAAAAATTTCAGGTGTACATCATTGTACTTCTATTTCTGCATGGACTACATCATGTTCACCACCAAAATACTA